CTCCTTGTGCTGAGGGCTCCAGAGCTGGATGCAGGGCTCCAGGGGAGGTCTCCCCAGAGCAGAGCAGAGGGGCAGAATCCCCTCCCTTGACACTGGCCACACTTCTCTTGATGCAGCCCAGGGTAGGGTTGGCCTTCTGGGCTGCCAGTGCCCATGGCCAGCTCATGGCCAGCTTTTCATCCCCCACCAGCCCCAAGTCCCTCTGGGCAGGGCTGCTCTCCATCCCTTCATCCCCCAGCCTGGATGGATACTGGGGGTTGCCCCAACCCAGGAGCAGGACCTTGACCTTGGCCTTGTTGAACCTCATGAGGTCCACATGACCCTGCCTCTCCAGCTTGGCCAAGTCTCTTTGGATGACATCCTGGGCTTGATGATCTGAAAGGGCTTCTCCAACCCAAACGATCCCGTGATTCTGTGATTCTAGGACTGGTTTAACTGGAGGATTGACTTCAGAGGGAGCCGTCTGAAGTGGCGCTCTAGAAGAGCGCTGAAATTTTCCTGTTCATTTGGATAAAAAGAATAAAAAAATGTTGCGTTTTACCTTTTTAATAAAAAAAAAAAAGTCAAAATTAATGAATTATTATGAAGAAATCCCAGTATTTTTACTGCAATGTGCAACGTGACCACTTCGGGCAAAATTCTGAGATGCTTGTGACAAAATTAATTGCAGCCTGTGATGCAAATGCGTTCATAAATAACGGCTTTTTTGGTGTTTTTTTTTTTGTGGTGGGGGGGGGTGAAATGGCTGCCCCGGCCGATCCAACCGTCCATGTTTCTCCCCCTCCTCCCCCATGTTTATGTGACGTTTACCCTCTTGCCAGGTTCAACACCAGCATCGGCCCGCTGGTCTATGCCCAGCAGTTCCTGCAGCTCTCCATCAAGCTCCCCAGCAGCAACATCTACGGGGTGGGCGAGCACGTGCACAGGCGATACCGGCACGACGTCAACTGGAAAACCTGGCCCATGTTTAGCAGGGACACGGCTCCTTCCGGGGTAAGCACCGGATTCATTGCGTTCTTCCTGTGAACCTCATGAGGTTCAACAAGTCCAGGGGCAAGGTCCTGCAGCTGGGTGGGGGCAACCCCCGGGATCAATACAGGCTGCAGGATGAAGGGATGGAGAGCAGCCCTGCTGAGAAGAACTTGGGAGTCCTGATGGACGACAAGGGGGCCATGAGCCAGCAGCGTGCCCTGGTGGCCAAGAAGGCCAATGGCATCCTGGGGTACATCAAGAGGAGAGTGGCCAGCAGGGCGAGGGAGGTTCTTCTTCCCCTCTGCTCTGCCCTGGGGAGACACCACCTGGAGGACTGGGTCCAGTTCTGGGCTCCCCAGTTTGAGGAGGATGAGGACCTACTGGGGAGAGCCCAAAGGAGAGCAACAAAGATGATGAGGGGAATGGAGCATCTGCCCTGTGAGGAAAGGCTGAGGGAGCTGGGCTTGTTCAGCCTGGAGAAGAGAAGGCTGAGAGGGGATCTCATCAACACCTACAAATATCTCAAGGGTGGGGGTCACGAGGACGGAGCCAGACTCTTCTCAGTGGTGCCCAGCGCCAGGACAAGGGGCCATGGGCACAACCTGAAGCAGAAGAGGTTCCA